GCTCGAATCATTAACTTGTTACCTTGGCAACCCCGGTCGACCTAAACCATTGGTTGTTGCTTTCCCCCCACTTTCCTTTGCACGCTCTATCGGTCGAACAACAAACTACGCACCGCCGTCACACACTCCTTCCTTCGAATATATCGTAATTTTCCTAACCTCCCGCGGCGAGGACTATAGACTGTCGCTGGTTCCCTTTACTCGCACAATCGTGCGAATGTGTACGTTAGAAGCATGCTGCTATATAGGGAACGTGGTCGCTGGGATTGGCGCGGCCACGACTCTTCCTACCCTCCACTCAAAACATCCTACCATCTCGCTCTCTTTGCCGAAATCCGTGAACGGAGTTGGAAGATGACCGATAAATCGGATACGTTTCGCGATTTACCTTATATCTTTTCTAACCTTTCCGTACAAAACTAATCTAATTAATCGTGTAAAGATATTTACATGTTCATATAATTAAATATAATAAAATAATAACTTTATCGGCATCAAATATGTATACACATCCGCACGTAGGTGCATACTATTGATGGTGATATTTGCTGCGGATAAAGAACGATTTAACAAGTAACGATAACTAACATTTTTAATATCGTATAATAATATCAGATTTTTAGCACGTTCTTCGAATCGTGTCCTTGGTAGTTCGAATTAAAGGAGAAATATTTGAAACTTTGAATATATAGAAAATCGAATGATTATCGTTCTAGCATTTCGATTAAAAAAATTCGTGATACGATGTTTATGAATCGAACGAATATTTTTTACGTACACGCGAAGGACCAATGGCAAACGAAATCGCATTACGGGGTTTTGAGCAGGGCAGCATAAACCTCAACTTAGAAACAGCTGTATCAGGAACGTAACGCGCGTTCTCGAAACTGGGTCAGAAGTTATCCGAAACTGAATAATTTTCTAAAATAACTATTTTATCGCATCGTTTCGTCGCATAACGTCGATACCATTCGTACCATATTTATTTCTTTTTAATCTCGTGTATTTTAACCATTTACATAATACTCGTATAATTTTTTATACAAATATATGCGTAATTCTCTATATGATTAGTAGTTAAGTAGTCTATGCGTTATCGTTATATATTATTACTAGTTATTTTAATAAAGCTAACATTAGCAGTCCTTAAACTTAAACCTTAAAAACTGAAAGAATATTGCAATTTCGATCGTCTACGTAACAATATGTATTTATGCTGTTTCGAATATTCTACGACGAATTTAATCTATTTAAATATAAAAGTAAATTATTAGAAAAACTCGTTGCAAACGATGGATACATATTATACACGTATACATATATGTTTACTAATAAATTGACGGATTCCGATGCAATTTGACAGGGTCAGTGATGTTATTCGATGCGACAGGGTAACGGAGTGACTATATTCGTCCCTGATGGTATCGTGAAGTTATACCGCGAAATATTCTGCGGACTATAATCATGTATATATGCATCAAGGGGCATACGTTCGTGTTGGTAACGAATGCAGGTGTGCGTCGCAGTAAGAGTATGAGTACCGTTACGGGGCATGCGCCTGCAGCCACCATATCCAATGGCCCCGCCTTTCACGGTGCAAACGATGCCTTTGGGATTTGCCCTCGCTGGACCAATGAGAAGACAAGTTCGCGATACGCGACGAGAGAGGTGAGGTTATAGCGAGCGAAGTGGTGGGAAGTAAACGTTGAGAAGGGCGGCGAGGGGCGAAAAAGGGGGAAAACGCAGAGAAGCGAGGGGTTCCGTAGATCGTGTGGGAGCAGGGAAGCAGACAACGAATGCGACTACGATCGCTTACGAAACCTTGCAACGTCAACGTGTAACGAAATTTTTCCTTTCGAATACTTCTAGTGTTTTTTTTCGAAGGTATATCAAAAACACGGTTATATGATAAAAAGGTTGATCGAATTCGAAGTGCAATCGGACAGTGACAGTGTCTACGGCGTGTTCGAAAACGTGATAGGTGTGACTGCGCAGTCGCCATGTGAGTACCTGAACGAGTATCAAAAATTTTCTACATAAACTTTACGCGTATCTTTGACGCTTTTAATTCTCTTTTCATTTATATTGGCAACATTTAATCGATGTTTTACTGGTTTCTGCACAAGTGTATTCGGTGATTATCGACAAAAATAGGAAGTATATAACACACTATGTACCACGTCCCGCCGGATCTTCGAACGTGCTTTATTTTGTAATCCAATATGTCGGCGTTAGGGACGCTGTTCCGCATTTGTCGAGACGCGTCTTTTTCTTGCTTCGCGCAATTCCTTTATTCGACAAATAAACGTCGAACAGCCAGTTCCCAAAGAACCGCGTGTGTTGTTATTTCGCGCGTGTCGTCGCTTCGTTATTACCATTATGGCGAAATCCATGTTGTCAACCGCCCCCTGGTACGGTCGTTTCTCCCCTTCTCTTATTTTTCTTTCCCTCTTTCGCCTCCCTCCCCCTTCAACACGCCTTTCAATCGTATTTCCCGCTCAGAGATACCTTCTGTCTTCCTCTTCGAACCCCTCGTCGTTATATTAATTATTGTCGCGCTAGCAAGACGACATTTTGTTCTTTTTGCTTAAAAATCCAAGATGGATCATACATTTCGTTTTCGGTTCATCGAAATATATTTTTAATGCTTATGCGCGAACACAGATTTCTTCTTTGCGTTTAAAATGCATTTTCTTTCTTCTCTATTTATTATGGATTCACGCATTTCCCCCCCTAAAATGCTGTGATTCTTTATACCATGTAATTGTCTCGATTCCATCTGTACTTTTAAATCTTGATAAATAAATGCATTCGCTATTTTATTGCATTTTGTCTTTCTTTTCTTTTCGATATACACAATTTACATACATTGCGTTATATAGTGTATATAATTCATCGAGTATATTAATGATTCTTCATGTAATGCATTCTTGCAATTCATACACAAGTGACAGGTTAACCAGTAATTAATACAACGATTTATGTTTTCCCATAATTTCCCTGTTCTTCGTTCTCAAGAAGCAACAAGAACAAATTTTCCAACAAAAATTATAGTCTCTCCTATACTGCTTTACGTTTAAAAGATAAAATATCTGCAATTATTCTTTTAAGGTTATCTGCCTATATATAATATCCCAAGATTGAAGTTCATGGAAGCATTACGTACAAAATAAATGAATACTAATGTTTACAGTGTCTCGATAGAATCACCGATTACATCTTAGGACCTTATATTTGGTGTATAATATATTCCATGCATTAATTAAAACCGCGAAAAATATTGCATGCCAGGTTCCGTACACTAGCTTATTCGAACGACTTTTTCTTTTACTATTAAATATACGAAAGTAGTTATTTATCGTAATACACTTCGCGTTCTCGATGAATATTTGCCACTGTACATACCTCACTTTTACACTTTATACTTAATATTTTGGTTAAAAAAACTTCCAAAAAATTCTTCTTCCAATTCCGATCTTTCCACGTGTATTGAAATGATTAAGGTTATGGCCAATAAATATTGTATCATTTTTTTTTCAGTTGCGCATACTGTACACATGTATTAAATATCTATATTTACGTATTGCAATTGATCATTTGTATACAATTGCTGATTATGAATCACGATTGTAAATAAATTTTTAATAGAAGAATCATTATGATTTTTGTTTGTAAAAGAACCAAGTATTTTGTTATTTTTCATATACAGATTTATATTCTCTAATATGATTATTAATTAAATAAACATATATATTTTCAGGTGCAGCAAATTGAAAAGATTAAAAGTGATATCTTAATAAGAAATATCTATACAATGGCAAGGAAAAAAGACATAGAATCAGCGAGTGTATAATAGGAGGAAGAATACTTCTTTGTATAAAGGAAGTTCAACTTCGAATCATAAAAAGGTGCGAGAAAACATGACAGATGTTAAGTCAATTGGAATCTCCCAAAATCAATCGCAACAAACACAACAGTCGCAGCAACAGCCACAACAGCAGCAACAGCAACAACCACAATCACAACCGCCGCAGCAGCAACAACAATCTCAACCGCAACAAATGATGATCGCTACTCATGATATCCAACAACAGCAAAATGTACAACCGCAACAACAGCATGTTCAACAACAGTCTTCGCAGTCGCAACAAGTACAACAACAAGCACAGCAACAAGTACAGTCTCAACAAGTACAGCCACAGCAACAAATGCAGCAACAGGTGCAATCGCAACAGCAAATGCAAGTTCAACAAGTACAACAACAAGTTCAGCAACAACAGCAGCAACAAGTTCAGCAACAACAGCAGCAGCAGCAGCAGCAGCAGCAACAACCGTCTCAGCAACAACAATCTAATAACGGACCTCATAATGTTGTTCCTACTCAAGTGCAAGTGCAACCACAGGTAGCAGCGATCATGCCGCAACAACAGGGCGCTGTTGCTGTATCGATGCAACACCAGCAACAGGGAGTCGGAGGTGTGTCTATGACTTTGTCTGGGCAACAAGGAGCAACGACCATAACTACAATGGCTGCGCATCCCCAAGCAGTACAAGTCATTCAACAACCTATGCAAAATCAAGCATATCATTTACAACAGTTGTATAATACTCAAGGAACTCCGTTATTAATGCCAGGAAATTTAGCGCTTCATCCAGCAGGCATTAATCCTAATTCTATACAGGTACTTTAAAATACATGCGGTATTAAAATTAGCTGAAAAGCTTGCAAATTTGTTTCTAAATAGGACACATTACAGGTTATAACAGCTGGAAAACCGTTTCAATCGGCTGCTCAGTTGACGCCACATATGTTAACTACCGCATCAACGGCAGGTCAAGGCGGAGGACACCCTGCAGCTGGTGGGACTAAAGTACAAGGCTTTCCTACCGGTTACTTACCGGTACCTACTTCCGCTACACCTGGTGCAGGACAAACTTTAGTATTTGGACAACTTGGTGTATTAGGTTCTCCACAACCACCTCCCTCTATACAACAACAGCAACAACAGCAATCTGCAGCTAAACAAGATCAAGTACAAAAGGTAATTTTATGTTACATGTTTTTTATTCAGTATATTTATGTAATATTTTGTATATATTATTTTTTAAATGTCTAGTATACTACGTGTACAGCGGCTACACCATCCGGCGGAAGAGGTGGCATGCAGTTTGCTCCTTGGCAATTTACGCCACAAGTTGCTTGGGCTGGAATACAACCACCAACGCTTCTTACTAATCAGATATTCATTAGAGGTCCTACTCAACCTGATATGTTCATACAAAGTCCACAACCGATTCAAGCTCATAATGGTAAATTTAATATTTCATATCGAATAAGATTTTATCTTTTCCATTGAATTAATTCGTTATTATATTTATATAGCACTGGCTACACAGCAACAAATTCAGGGCGTACAACAAATTGCTGCAGCTAGTGGTAAACCAAAGGTAATGGATATACAACAGCAGCAGCAGCAACAGGGTAAGCAGAGCACAAGTGGACAACGACCTTTGAGTATTTTACCGTCCTCTCTGCATGCAGTACAAGCTGCTAATATTCGGGCTGCAAGTTCGGTTTCTACACAAACTGTTCATGGAGTACAAGCCACGGTACATGCACAGGTTATTATAATTAAAAATTGGAAAAAAGATTTCGATTGTTGCGATTCTCGAATCACGTAGAAACATATTAAAGTTCTGTTTCTGTTTTCGCGTAACGAAGAAGTTCATTTTATGTTTTATAACTAGAGTGGAAAAGGAAGCGGTAGTAGCGGTAAAGGCCGTACTAAACCACTGCAATCACCGCAACAACCGCAACAGTCACAGCAAACGATGCAACAACAACATCAACAGGTTTTTATCCAACAGAAACAGCACCCGCAACAGCAGCAACAGATGCAGCAACAGTACCAACAACAACAAGTGCAGCCGTCGCAACAGCAAATACAGCCAAAACCCATAATGAGTAAGACTATATTTTATTTATTGTCCATTCAATGTCATACAAATATTGGTGTATGTAATTGATCATTTTTATTACAGCAAACATGGCTTTACAACAACCGCAACAACCAGGCGTAGTTCTTGGTGGTGAACGACCAATAATGCCAGTAGTATCGGTAGGAGGAGTTGGAGTTACTACATCTCAAATGAATCAAATACCACAATCGCCCATGCCTACTATACAGCAGTTACCGTTGCAGGTAATAGACGATGTTAATTTTTCTTTTTTTATAAAACATTTCATTAATACAATGTTTTCTAGGCAATCAATTCGACAATAATTGGTAACCAGATAGTTAGTGGAACTTCGCAAGTTCAGACGATGTCTATGGTAAATCAGTCAACGGATCAGCAAACACACGATAACACCTCTACAATAATGATTACCTCACCGGATCGTAGTCATCAAACTGAATGTTCCTTAGTATTGCCAGCTGCTGCAAGTACACCACTTGCGAACGAAGAAAATTCTAAACAAGTTTTGAAAAAAGAAGACACGATACCAATTTCTATAGAAGAAGTTGCCGTACCTCAACCGGAAATTACAGGTTACGTATCGATATAATCACCGAGTGCATATGTTGTTAAGATATATCAATTTTTTTTTTATTTATAAATTTTATATTGCTTAGATGGGGACCAATGTAAAGTACCTATAAAGGAAGAAGAAAATTCACCTACAAAAACAGACGAGAAATCGTGTAACAATCCTTTGGCAGGGTTAGCAAATACAATTAATTCTATCACTAATGGCGTTACTGGTGAAGAATCTGCAACGGTTCCGGTTTCTGTACCAGTTACTGCGAACAGTAAACATGTGCCTCCAAAAGCTATGGTCAAACCACAAGTCCTTACACACGTAATCGAAGGCTTTGTCATACAAGAAGGTACAAACTTCATCGATATTTTCTATAGGACGGGACTTGCCCAAACCTTTATGAACCGAAACCCACTCATTCGCTTATTACGCATTACTTTTCTGAGTTTTAAAGTTTAAACATTCCAAAGATCAAAATTCCTCAAAAAATACAATTTTAATAATTAACAAATTTTATATTTTAACATTTAACGCGACTAGTGGGTCCGCGCTTTGGGAATCTCTACTATTACTATTACTACATATATTATTGTACTTTATTAAATAAAATTAATATTTATTTTAGCATCTGAACCATTTGCTGTTAATCGTACATCGTTAAATAATACAGTTAATCAAGATTCGAGTAATATTCTAAATCGTAGTAATAACAATTCATCGTCCGAAAAGGAGAATCACGATGAACCTCCGAGTAAGATTTACAGAAATGTTATCTATAACCTAATAGTTGTAATTCTTTTCTTTTTTTTCCCCTTTTTCTTTTTCTCTTTCCCTAAAAAACTTAAATTAAATACATTATTCTCTGTAGGAAAAAAACATGCGCCCAATTATCCCAACGACGATGATACAAATAATATTCAAATTGGGAAATGTGAAGGTTGTGGAAATTTAATAGACGAACAAAACATTAAGTTAAAGAAAGAAAAGAGATTTTGTTCCTCTGGTTGTGCAAAGAGGTCAGTGAAATTCTTTAATTATTAATAGTTGTTAGATTTTTTAAAACATAATATTTGAAATAATATTTATTATCATAAATTATGAACGAAACAGCAAAAAGCGCGAGAGAGACCGCGACGGTGTTGAGAAACAGTGGACTGAAATAGAGACTGATTCGAAAAACGAGGGAGACACGATGAAAAAGAACGGAGAAGAAAAATCATTATCGACTACAACAACAACTTCTTCCGTTGACGATACACTGCCGAAAATTAATCCTGTGAAATGGACGGTAAGAATATAATTAACGAAAATTAACTGTAAAAGTTTATTTTCGATAAAAAAAAAAGCATTACTACTATAAAATTGAATAAACTTTTATTTCGCATAGGTCGGTGAAGTATGTGATTTTATACGTGGTTTACCGGGTTGTGCCGATTACGCAGAAGATTTTGCTATTCAAGAAATAGATGGCCAAGCACTTATGTTGCTCAAAGAAGACCATCTTATGTCAGCAATGAGCATTAAATTAGGTCCTGCATTGAAAATCGTTGCCAGAATCGATTCGATGCGCGTAGAATCATTATCAAACTCTAATCCTACGTCTAATAGCTCGTAAATGTTTTAACGATTTAAGACTTTTACCCTCTCAAAATTTCAAGTTGCAGCCTATGGGCTACAGGGTTTGTGCAAGTATTCAGATTATAGAGTTAAGATTTAAAAAAAAAAAAAAGAAACATTAGATGTTTTTATATAAATACATAATTTTCCTCTGTTCCATTTAATTTAATGAAGATCTTCCTTTTCGAATAGAAAAAAATACGCTGATTATTCGATTTTAATATTCTAAATTGTATTAGCATAATTTCAAGATCGATCTATGTAAGACTATAAATTTCGTACTATCTTTTAGTACATAAAATAATTTTATTGACATTTTGAATAAAAGCGTAGCTATTATTTAATTTTTTTAAATTTTTGTATTTTTTGATTTAACCATATTGACAACATGCTTCACTGCGGTAAGTCTTACACCGATTGATTTTTTCAAATGTAAATAGAAATAAATTTATTAGGTTGTTTTATTTTAAAATCTAAGTACAATATTATTTTCAAAAGTTTAATCTAAAATACCGTTCATTGGATAGAATGATCAAGAAACTGAGTACAAATTATGTCCATTACACAAGAAAAGATAAAAAGTATCTTGTTGTATATAAACTATCTGGCGTATATGCATATGATGTATTTTGTACTCGAAAAATTACTTTTGGAAGCTGTACAAAAACCATTGCCTTTTGTGAGACTTACAATAATCTCGACAAAATTCAGCATTTTTAAAATGTTAGCCTTTATGACAAATATGTAGTGATTTATGTGCACAACAATTTCAAATTGAGTCATAAGACATCTGAAGCAATGCAATTAACTCTTGACCATATATTTTGTAAATTTATCATGTGCACACAACTTGCATACGTGTAAATATTAAACATAGAATGTTTATTTAATATACAAATTTTATAATATGAAACTTTAGTTATTAACAAACATTATCCTCCTATTTATATAGTAACTGAGTTTTAATTAAGGTAATTACTAATTTTAAGAGGAAATAAATAAATATATATATATATATATATATAGAAAATCGTTGCCAGAATCGATTCGATGCGCGTAGAATCATTATCAAACTCTAATCCTACGTCTAATAGCTCGTAAATGTTTTAACGATTTAAGACTTTTACCCTCTCAAAATTTCAAGTTGCAGCCTATGGGCTACAGGGTTTGTGCAAGTATTCAGATTATAGAGTTAAGATTTAAAAAAAAAAAAAAGAAACATTAGATGTTTTTATATAAATACATAATTTTCCTCTGTTCCATTTAATTTAATGAAGATCTTCCTTTTCGAATAGAAAAAAATACGCTGATTATTCGATTTTAATATTCTAAATTGTATTAGCATAATTTCAAGATCGATCTATGTAAGACTATAAATTTCGTACTATCTTTTAGTACATAAAATAATTTTATTGACATTTTGAATAAAAGCGTAGCTATTATTTAATTTTTTTAAATTTTTGTATTTTTTGATTTAACCATATTGACAACATGCTTCACTGCGGTAAGTCTTACACCGATTGATTTTTTCAAATGTAAATAGAAATAAATTTATTAGGTTGTTTTATTTTAAAATCTAAGTACAATATTATTTTCAAAAGTTTAATCTAAAATACCGTTCATTGGATAGAATGATCAAGAAACTGAGTACAAATTATGTCCATTACACAAGAAAAGATAAAAAGTATCTTGTTGTATATAAACTATCTGGCGTATATGCATATGATGTATTTTGTACTCGAAAAATTACTTTTGGAAGCTGTACAAAAACCATTGCCTTTTGTGAGACTTACAATAATCTCGACAAAATTCAGCATTTTTAAAATGTTAGCCTTTATGACAAATATGTAGTGATTTATGTGCACAACAATTTCAAATTGAGTCATAAGACATCTGAAGCAATGCAATTAACTCTTGACCATATATTTTGTAAATTTATCATGTGCACACAACTTGCATACGTGTAAATATTAAACATAGAATGTTTATTTAATATACAAATTTTATAATATGAAACTTTAGTTATTAACAAACATTATCCTCCTATTTATATAGTAACTGAGTTTTAATTAAGGTAATTACTAATTTTAAGAGGAAATAAATAAATATATATATATATATATATATATACGCACATACATACATACATATATATATATATATATATATAAAACTTCCGTTATTTGTACAAAGTACTACGGTGGTGTTGAGTGAAAAGTAGAACAGTACTCTCAGTTTAATGTGATACTTTGTGGATGTGAAATGTGTTCAATGAAATGAAAAGAAGTATGAGTATGTTATTTGTATCGTTACTAAGTCTTTGCAGTTATCAGCGATGTAAATACAACATTTAATCTATAAGCATTTATTCGATAGAATTATTTAATTTTATACTTATAACTCATAGATTGATAACTATCCGATTCGATTAAAAAAGAAAAAAGGTTTTAATGAAGAAAATACTTGTATCTATGAAATGTGCAGTACTTTCGTATTCCTTGTACTTAATATTCATTTAAAATAATAAAAACATTTAAAACAACCTTATAACATAAATTCTGGCTTAAAATGCACTAGGTGTAAAAATATAATATGAAGCACATTTCTCTTTTGCCAAATTTCAAAAATTACTCAGGGCTTAGTCTTATGATATACTTTTTTGTACTAACATAGATGGCACTTGATCAGCAATTATGTATTGTGATTTCTTGAATAAAATAAAGCAAAAATATCAACAAAATAGTAGAATTACACGTGTTTTCTGTAGCATTTATGTTCGAAGTTGACACTATTATATTTTGTAAACTAACATAGAACTCTAATGTTTGCTACACACAAAAAAAAAAAATGTGAAGGGAATATAATTTCAATAAACGATAGCTATGTAAATAATTATTATGACTTTTATTCCATTATAACTTATAGCCTAATAAAAACTATTATTTCAAGTATTAACTGCTGTATACTTTCCTTCCTCTAATAATTCTTCATCAGCTTTTAATGCCATTTCTTTCAAAGCCGGTCGAATGTATCGAAAGTAATAATATCCTCGGTACGCTAAGATCGAACCACCAATTATTGTGGTAGCAATACAAACGTTTACAACTCCTCTATGCAATTTATCTAAAATGTAACTCCTCTGTTTATATTTTGGTATCATTCTTTTGCTAAAATTATTACTATCATATAATTTATAAACCTGAAAAATATATATTTATTCAATCCGATTATGGACACAAATATAATTATAAGTCTTGATTTAAAATTCAAATATAATAGTATAAAGTATGAAATTTCGTTTAATTTATACCATACCGGCTTAAAAAATGTGCACAAAATACAATATAGTAATTATCTACAAATCTCAAATATCGGTTTTCGAACACTTCATGTTTTAGGTTAGAAACAACAGGAAATCATTTCCGTACTGCAGCCCTCTATGAACGAGTATGGAAAAGTAACATTCAATTTTGATTAACCTAAAATAAAACGCTAAATATGTATTTATATATTTCAATTATTAAACTGGAAACATTCACAGCGATACATTCACAAAACATACTGCATTAATTTGAAATAGATTACAATAAAATATAACTATTATATAAAAGTTCATAGGAAAACTATATTTCTAAAATATTATTTATTTTTTACATAATTTGTACAAATCAGTTCAACAGAATAATTAAGGATTACATATTTATTTCTGATTCAGTATTTAAAATGTTCCATTCTTAATTATCTAAGAATTCATCGAATACAGTCGAATCTACATCTAAAACTATTTCGTCTAATGAAGGCCCTTGTTGCGTAACTGGTAATTCTAAAACGAAAATAAATTTTTAGCATCGAATAAAACAATATTCTTGTTCTTAAAATTTATTAAAACCTACTGGATATAGATCCTGTTTCTTTGTATTCCTTAAGTTCCTCTTTAAAGACTTCGTCGAATGTTTCTCTTCTTTCTTTCATCATTTTTTGCTGTTTAAGTTCATATTTTGATACTCTGTCAATATGTTCATTCGCTAATTTTGCTAAACATTAATATGTTCTTTATGTATCTCCTCTATATTAATAATACCTTTAATAATACCATTAATAATGATACCTTTAATAACATTTAACTCTGCTAGTTTCTTTTCTTTATATAAAGCCAATTGAAATCTGTGATCCAACTGTCTATTTTGTAAGTCCAACATTTCGTTCAAATCTTCTAATCTATATATAGCACTTTCTACTTCCTCAAACATTTCTTGCAATGTTCCTTTAATAATAATAAGAATTTTATATTAAATTTACATAGAAAAATACATTTAACGTGTTAGTACCTATTTGATCCATAAGTTCTTGTATCGCATTATTGAGTTTTGGAATATGAGCTAATATACTATTTAGACACATAATATTTTTCCATTCATTTTCAAGCTTTTCATAAATAGTTCCTATAAGTTTGTTAGCCTCTTGGGCTTTCCCTGCATTTTCCTCTGCCAACTCGTGCAATTCGTTCCATTCTAATTGAAATTTATGTAAGATATCTGCTCCAGCATTGTAATTAACATTCCTTATATTGATAAATTTTTTAGGTTTTGGATTTTCAACAATTGTCAATCCTCGAATACTAAAATAATAAAAATACGAGTATTCTAATTTTATATTTAATATCTATATAATGTTAAAGAAAATGTTACAAAAATTCTTTACCTAGCTGATATACTTTCTTGCACAGTTTGAAATTTATTGCGTAATGTACCAAACATGATTATAAATTATATTATTTCCCTATTATTATATGACGCACCATTAACATACAATTAAATATATCTTACATGTAAATCATATGTTTTCAAACGAAGTATAATAATATTAATAACATATTTGCCATTGTTAAATCCATCACTGATAAATGATGGATTTTTAATAAGATATTACTTAGAACACTGTTGAAATATCAAATCAATTGTGAAGATAACCTCTTTCTGGAAATTTCTAACAATTCAATCATCTACGTGAATACTTTCATTAATATGTCGATATGTGCACAGTCAGTTTCTCAATGTAATCGTCATTTTATTAGAATGTCATTTATAAAATTGCGGTCGCATAAAGTAATGTCAAATGTTGTCAACGTACGTAACCAAATGAAATATTACAAAAGATTCGTTCTTCTTCACTTCGTTAAAGATTTTTAATTAAAACAGACGTATAAGTGATTCGTGTGGTTTTTAATTAAAATATGTTGTTTGGTATTTCAAGTAAACATAACGTTTTGAGCAACTTTTTTGTAAGTTGGCAACATTGAATATTCCATTCGCATATACGTATATGTAGTATATATGTGTATATATGTACTATACATATGTGTGCGCGTATGTATATATATATATATATACGCATGTGTCTGTGTGTAATTATAGTTAATGAAACCTGGTAAACTATTAATAAATTTAATATCGATTGTCAAAAACAATATTAATGGTTATAATTTAATTATCATGATATTAATGTCTGATTTTTATATACCATCAATATCTATGTTAAAATATGTAATTTATGTATAACTATAAATTTTGAACTATATACACGTGTACTATGTTGCAAAAGTTTTACCGATTTATACACATAAAATATATGCGTTTACTGTTACATTAAAATGAAGCGTATTTGCAGTAAAGTACGTTACATATTATCGTCTGCTATTATATATACGGTAAATTAACATTTTTTTCTAATAAAATTAATTTAATATAATACATACATTTTAACAGAATATTTTTAATATGAAACAATTTGGCAACACCGCTAAAGCTTCACTCCCTCCCTCTGACAATATGACTGGAGCCTAGCAACCAGTGAGGTCAACAAACGAGGTCAAATTGCAAATTACCTGTGCAATAAAAAGCAGTAAATAACATTAATGGGATGAATTATCAAATTAGTTTTCATTCCTCTTAAATCAAGTTAATTAAAAAATTCGAATGAACATACAGCGTAGTAATTTTCGTTAGCATTACCCTTAAAATCGAACTAAAAATGTTGGATATTATTTTGGACTTTTTTAAAAGCAATAATTAATCAAATTACGATAAAATTACCAAAGTCTTAACTTTGTAGAAATTTCAAAATTCACACACCTGTAAAGCATGTTTTTAAAGGAAGCAGGTTAAATAAAACAATATCGCTTTACTATTTTTAAATCTGTTATATTTCAATACTTAACTTTCATTTTATATAATACGAATGATAATATAGTATATATAATTAAAAATAAGAAAGTGAAATTAAATTCTGTTTAGTATCTTGTATAAACGAAATATTTTTCGTATTCAAAAGCACATATGCATGTATCGGTAAAAACTAAAATGGTTGAAGGTATCACCCGTGTTGCCAAGTATGCCATTACTTTTATACTTTTCCGTTTTGAAAATGCTAATCAACGAACGTAGTAACAAAATTTAGTATCTATTTTGTATCTATTTAGATTCAAGTAATATAAAATATTCTAAACGATCATTAATTTACAGCAGGAAAATAGTAAATTTAAAAAATAATAAGCTATCTCATTAACGAGACCTTGAACGAGTTCGCGAAACGCTGTTAACTGAAGCCTTCATCGATATCTTTCTTTTTCTCTTCCTACCACACGTACAATGAGCATAACTTGAACAAGCCTGGTCAAGAGAGGATGGCGGATGAAGCTTAGAAAGTTGTGCGCAACTCGTGAAACCAGATTTGTGGGAGGTAGTAACGGAGAGGGAAGAGTAGTCAGGGATGTTGGGTCAACGTACGTATCCAAGTATCCCCTTTCTCCTTGCATCAAGTTAAGCCACTACTATATCGTGGTGAACTCGTCTTCTCCATAAAAGCGGTTACCTTTCTGCGCATACTAGCGCGACTACAGCGCATACTAGTAGGAATTGTTAACCAAAGGATGAGGACTTCGTGGTAGGGATGAAATCAATAGTTAAGTATTCCGTGGAACGGAAATATCAATCTACATTTCACCATTCAATTACTTAGTTCAGTTCCGTTCATTGAAATTACAAGGACAAAAAGTGGTCCAAAATAAATATAAAAAGATATAATTCTTTTATCCTTTCGATAATCTTCGATTATGTAATAGCCAATCGATAGCTGCACTAATCGTGTTTGATTCGAGGATCAATGGTTGATCTGTAATTGTTTCAACGTCACGATACTCAAAGCAAATATGTTAATACGTTATAACCAAGGAAAAAAATATTATTTCGGTACTCAATTTTTCGGTAACACATACAATACATCAATACGAAGTTCAGCGAACTAAATATATGTAGAATTTCCAAGTTGAATCGTTGAGTATTTGAATAGAAAACAGTGAAGAACCTGTTACGATCAATAGAAGCTACATTCGGCAATTTTCGACAAGTTCCGTTAAGTTCCCCTACTATATTCGTGCCTTTCGGCTTCCAACCATTCCTGCCACGCCTTGTTCACATACATGCACGTACATATGTATACATATTTCTCTGGCAAAACCGGTTATATTTCAGGTATATACGTTTTGATATTTGATTTTCAATTGAAAAACTATACTCGGAAAACTTTTTATCAACATTTCGATACAGGATATGATACGGTTCAATACAATAGGTTCAAACTTTAAATCGAACAAGATATACCCTCTTAACCCTACGTTATATAGAATACGAGCAATTATATCGAAACGAAAAGCCGCAAACTATAAAATTTATTTACATATATGTACATATATGTAAGTATATCGATTAATTCACGTCCATCTATTACTAAACCACAAACTTGTTCAAGATTTGAACGTATAAAATTGTAAGGATACATCAAATATCGGCATGATACTGTGCAATCCGCATATCCGTAGTATGTGCATACATATATACATATATGTCAGTTATGAAGCTATAAATAACCACGGCTGCAGAGCTTTTAAGCGCAATGGTTGACAGGCGGCAATTGGATAGTTAACGTTGACGATTTCGTTGGAGAATTACACGAACTGAGGGAAACCGTAGAACATTGGAGGGATAGTGAAGAGAATTGCAGGAAGAAGGGAGAGGTGTAGAAGTTAGAAAGAGAATAATGGATAACATTGGAAAAAAGAAAATAAGAGAATTGTTTGGTGGGAGCGGATTAGTAGGAGAGGTTTGTTCAGGAATACGAGGTAAAGGAAAGACGAAGGGAACTAAAAGAGAGGAAGAGAGAGAGAAAGAGGGAGCGCGCGCGCGAGACAGAGTCGAGTTGGTGCGACGATGTTCGAATTGCGCATGCGTCGATGGTACTTGCTATGAGCGGATTGGCTCCCTACTCATACTTGAGTGCACGGTTAGGTTGACTTAATTTCAATTTGGACTCCTTCTCTACTTCCCCCCACCCCGACGCACATCCCTGTCGGTTACTTTTGTTTTGTTGGGTTTCTGCTTGAAGGGCGTACGCGATAGCGTAATACATTCGCCGTGTATATTCCTGCATAACTAAAAAGCATGCAACGAGAGTGAACCCTCTGATCTTTGATAAAAAAAAATCAACGTTAGAAGCAAAGAGAAGCAAAGAAGAAGAGAAGAGGGGAGGGGAGGATAAAGGTGGTAATGGTGTGCAACGAAGGAGAAGTTACGAAGAAACAAACTGAAGAGAGGAGAGGGAAGCTCGACGTTTGTAGCAAATCGGCGCACGCTACCTTGCGCGCTCGCTTGTTCTTACAAAACAACGCATCTGAACACTCTGAACCGTCGCTGAACGCGCCTCAACAGTTCGGCACGAATTCACATTGAGTTGATTATCCTGTCCGACGCGCGGGTTTCATCGCGTCG